CACAAGTCCACTGACCCTCTTGGCAGCAAGGACACATTGCTGGCTCATGTATATTTTACTATCTACCAGGATTCCCAGATCCTTCTTCTCACAACTGCTTTCCAGCAGATCCAGACATTAGCTATGTTGGTGCACAGTGTTCTTCCTCCCTAGATGCAGGACCCTATACTTGCCCTTGGACTGAATATTGACCCTTGGAGGACACCACTGGCTACAGACCTTCAACTTGACTCTGCTTCATTGATCCCAACCCTCTGAGTTCTGTCACACAGCCAGCTCTCAATCCACCTCACTATCCACTCATCTAGCCCACACTTCCTGAGTGTCCTAATGAGAATGTTATGGGAGACAGTGTCAAAAGCCTTGCTGTAGTCAAGGCAGATAATATCCATTGCTCTTCCTTCATCTACCCAGCCAGTCATGCCAGATTGGTCAAGCATGATTTCCCCTTGGTGAATCCATGCTGACCCCTCCCAATTACTTTTTTCTTTGCTTCCACATGTTTTGAGATGATGTCCAGAATTATTTGTTCCACCTTCCAGGGACAGAGGTGAGACTAACCTGCCTATAGCTCCCTGGGGTCTCCTTCTTGCCCTCTTTGAAGACTGGAGTGACACTGGCTTTCCTACAGTCCTCAGGCACCTCTTGTGTTCTCCATGACTTCTCAAAGATGATGAAGAGTGGCCTAGCAATAACGTCTGCTAGGTCTCTCTGACTCATGGATGCATCCCATCAGGGCCCATAGATTTATGGACGTCCAGTTTGGCTAAGTGGCCTCTAACCCTGTCCCCAGATTTAAATATTTAAATATTTAACTACTGTTTGGTTTAAACTTCCTCTAAAAGGTGCCATATGGGCTGCATTCTCCTATTTTCACATAGCTTCTTGAGATACAATGATCAATATTACTGGTATGATATTAAATAAAGTATTAACCTTTATGACCACTACTTCAAGTCAAGTTAATTGATCCCTTCATCATTGATCACATTCCACATTCACCAAAGACACAACAAGATTTGGAAGGATATGATTCCATGTAAGCTCTTTCAAGATCAAACATTGAGCTATTATCTAAATGTTGAAAGGCAGAACATTGAGCATGCTAAATTCAGTTCTCATAGCTGTGTTCCTACAATGTGCTTAATAGTGAAAAGATTGAAACACTGCAAGGTAA